GGTTCGGTAGATTTGACGAACCGGTTCTACCGAATAGGTGCGAACTGGTAGGAACCCACCTCTGGTATATATGTACAGGCAGTAGCTCACATAAGCAACATCACAGAATAATATTTTTCTGGCCTGATTCCGTGATAGGAAATCTTAATCTGATTATATGCAGTACCATGTTGTTGTTGTTGTTACTAAAGACGGAGTAGTGCTATAAGGTCAACTACCATTAGAGGCAAGCCAAAATCATAAGTCAAGTAAAAAGATCAGATGTTTTGATAGATAAGATGAACAATAGTGTATTTATCCTGTAAAAGCATACATACTCTAGTCTGAGGTTCTGAAATAGAGGATATACAGTAGTTTGAGTACAGGTAGAAACTGGCAACCAGAAATTAAAATGGAATAGCGTGGAAAACAGACTATGAGTGGTTTTTTTTTAATCAAAAGGTTGTCTGTTTCAAAAGTATGTGGTATGTGTGTGTGATTGCTGACTAACTCACAGATTTATATGGTTGCCTTCTAATTCTGATTTTCCTGGCTGAAATTTTCTGTCAGTCTTTTTTTTTCCTCCTCACCCCAAATAAGATCTTGTATCATTAGTAGAGGGAAAACTGTCCCTGAATATGAAGAGGCAGTGATATAAAAATTATGCTCCTGCCTTTCATATTGTTATTGAAAGTTACAGGGATTTCCCTAGAAAATAGAGGAAGACTTTTCAACTTGGAATATGTGTGGGATCTGCTGCTGTTTCATATAAGAAATGGAAAAAAATAGGAAAAATTATCTGTGTGTTGTCCTGAATTATCATAGCACGTTCCAGAAGTAAGGAAGCAATGTTTTTGTATGGTATTCTTTTGTTCACTGACAGTCTCCCTACAGCTTCCCTTTCAGAGAGTGCCATCATCTGGTAGAAGAAAATGATGATGACCTCTCCTATTAAAGTGTCACTTTATGCAGAAGTCTAACAAAAGGTAGCTGATATCATCACCTTAAAATACTTCACCAGCTGCGTTTCTCACAAGGGATGCTCCCAGAATTCAGAGACAGTCACGTAGAAATGTGAGTTTGATTTAGGTTTTCTGTAGACTCCAGGAGTTGGATGGTTTCCCAGATGAATCATGTTTTTTTTCTCTCGTAGCAGCTACCCTTCTACTGAGGTTGTTTTTGTTTTTGAAATAAGTAAATAAAACTGCCTCTCTAAAAAGGCTTTAGCGTCTCTTACCTGGGGTGTATCTTCAACCTGTTACCAAAACTTTGTTGAAATATGCAGTATTTGTGAATATAAGTGACTTGAGTTTAGAAGTATATCATAGATAGTCCTATGGCAAGAACTCCTTAGAGAGCATAGTCTTCTTCCTCTGATCTGGAGTTGTGAGTTGTAAGGTAGTGGTAGACTTCATAAGGATTGCAGAAATGGCACATCTGTGGTATTGCATTAGAAGTTTAAAGACAGGTTTGAGAGGACAGAACTGGTGTGGTTTTTCTTAGTTTTCCCCTCGGCATGCCATTGCTATTGTTTTTTTTCAGAAATGTTTTAATTTTTTATTCTCTTACATACCATTTTAAGTATACGTTCACATAATCGTTATTCTTCTTTACATTTATCATTCTTATACATTTATTATTTCATTTAATAGGTTATAATATACAGTTTGGGTTGCTTTGTTTCCCATCCCTTCTTCCTGTTGTAATACCACCTTTCTTTTCTNCCTATGAAGCGGTATATATAAGTCTACTGCTATTGCTATAGCTACAGCTATAAAACTGCTGTTTAGAGTTTAACTGATTGGATGTTCTGAGTTGCATAATTTTCTTTTCCTCCGTGTTAAAATTTTGATTTCCTCTTTTCTTCCCCTCCTTTTCTTGCTCATTTCAGAGATGCTTGTAGAAGATTGTGGTCACAAGGAGATGATTCCTCATGAAGTCTCTGGATCCACACAAGAAATCAAATGTGATTTTCCACTTGGCAGACTGAAATCGGAGCCAGCCAGGCAGTGAAGCCACAGAGGATAAGGGCAGGGGGCCGGTGAAAAATGAAATCCAACCAGGAGAGAAGCAATGAATGCCTGCCCCCCAAGAAGCGGGAAATCCCTGCCACCAGCCTGCCTTCTGAGGTGAAGCCGTTATTTCTGGCCAGTGAAAATCACCGCGCCGATAATATAACATGGCTCTCGAGTACAACCAGCAGCCACAGCAGTGGGCGGAATCGGTCTGGAGGTACTTCAGTGGAGGCTGGTTCACAACAAGGAGTAGGTTTACACAAGTCACTTTCTACAGGAATGGATTATTCCCCACCTAGCGCTCCTAGGTCTGTTCCAGCCTCCGCCACACTTTCCACAGTGTACCCCTCTGCACTTTCACAGGCAGGAACACCTGTTTCGCCGGTGCAGTACACACACTTGCAGCATGCTTTCCAGTTTGTTGGGCCTCAGTATAGTGGACCATATGCCGGATTCATCCCTTCCCCACTAATTTCCCCAACAGCTAATTCTGCAACCACCACAGCAGCCTCTGCCACTGCTGTTGCAACCACTCCATCCCAGCGGTCCCAGCTGGAGGCATATACTTCTTTGCTGGCCACCATGAGCAATCTTAGCCAACAAAGCCAGAAAGTTGAGCCGCATTTAGTCAGGACACCTGGATTGATCACGGCAGGATCTCCACCACCTATTCAGCAAAACCAGTATGTCCATATTTCCAGCTCCCAGAGTGCTGTTAGAAACGTCTCTCCTCCAGCCATCCCAGTCCATTTGCATCCTCACCAGACAGTGATCCCTCATGCCTTTGCCCTCGGCCCTTCCTCCCAGGTGGTAGTGCAATATGCAGATTCTGGCGGCCATTTTGTGACTCGGGAGCCCACTAAGAAATCTGAGAGCGGACGGTTGCAGGCTATGCAAGCAAAGGAAATACTGAACGGGGAAGTAGACAAGAACAGGCGATACGGCATCTCGCCCTCTTCTGAAGTCAATCTTCTCAAATCAGGCAATAAACCACCTCCTCATCATTATGAGGCCAGACATGTGGTAGTCCACTCTGGTCCTACTGATTATATTGCACGTGATTCCTCGGCTGTCCGGCCCTCTGTTATGGTTGTCCCCAACAGCAGTACGCCTACTGCAGACATGGAGGTTCAGCAGTCCGCCAACAGAGAAACACCTCCTTCAGCCATCAACGAAAAGGGTAGTTTGCATTTAGGAAAGACAGGCCACCGATCCTATGCTTTATCTCCACAGCAGACTATTGGTCATGAAGGGGTGAAGGCAGTTGCCACTTTATCCCCTCACACTGTCATTCAGACCACCCATAGTGCTTCAGAGCAGCTGCCCGTTGGGTTGCCAGCTACAGCCTTTTACACTGGGACTCAACCACCAGTGATTAGCTATCTGAGCAGTCAACAGCAAGCCTTTGGCTATCCTGGAAGTCTACCACAACATCTGGTGATCCCTGGTACCCAACCTCTCTTAATACCGGTAGGGAGTGCAGATATCGACTCCTCGGGGATGCCACCTGCTATAGCCACTTCGTCTCCCCAGCTAGCAGCCGTGCCTCATACGTTTGTCACAACCGCCATTCCAAAAAGTGAGAATTTCAATGCTGAGTCCCTAGTAAACCAGACGGCTTATCAGGCAGCTGTGGTCCAGGCCCAGATCCATCTCCCCCTGGTCCAGCCAGTCCCACCTTCCGCAACAGCTCCTGCTATATTGCCTCCTTATTTTATGAAAGGCTCTATAATTCAGTTGGCGAATGGAGAGCTGAAGAAAGTGGAAGACTTAAAAACAGAAGACTTTATACAGAGTGCGGAAATTAGCAGTGACCTGAAAATAGACTCCAGCACCGTGGAAAGAATTGACGACAGCCATAATCCAGGCATTGCTATGATACAGTTTGCAGTTGGAGAGCACCGAGCACAGGTAATCAGCACAAGAACTTGTTGGGGGGAGAGAAGAAATCATTAGGAAAGTAGATATCATATCCTTATTATTCCTGCTCTTGATTCTTAGTCTCTTAGCCTCAGACTAATAGATTAGTGATTGGGTGCATGAATGGGCTTACACAAATTATAATAGTGACAAATAGCAATAGCAATAGCAGTTAGACTTATATACCGCTTCATAGGGCTTTCAGCCCTCTCTAAGCGGTTTACAGAGTCAGCATAATTGCCCCCAACAACAATCCGGGTCCACAAAGGAATTAGTTGGATGAAATTATTGTTATGTAGCCAAAGATTGCTGCAGTTTGTCACTATTATACAAATGTAAAT